CTCCTGGGCTCAAGCAATTCTCTCATCTCAGCCTGCCAGGTAGCCAGATCCTCCAAGTAGCCCAGCTAATTTTTTAACACTTTGTAAAGACAGTCTTGCTATGCTGCCCAGCGGGTCTCAAATTCCTGGCCTCAAGTGATCTTCCCACTTTGGCCTCTGAAAGTACTGGGATTACAGGTGTAAGCCACTGCACCTGGCCTAATCAACTATTTTTGTACAAAGGACAGTTTGGGGTTTGTTGCTAATAGTTGGTCACTTTAACTGCATCAATAAGAACATAGGTATTGCCGGGTGTGGTGGCTCATACCTGTAATCCAAGGTCGGCGGATCACCTGAGGTCGGGATTTCAAGACCAGCCTGACCAACATGGTGAAACCCCGTCTTTAAAAAAAAAAAAAAGAACATAAGTATTAATTAAACACATTAAACTTCTCTAGGACACTAGTAAGGTATATTCTTTGGGGTACATCTCAATTCTTTTGAATCTCATCAGTGATAGTGATTCTGGGTTTACATTATTCTTCTTTTTGGGGTATTCAAAATATGAAGTTGGAAGGCCACAACAGCTTCCAACTTTTCTCACCTCTCTTTTGGAGAATTTAAATCACACCGCCAGTTCCACACTAAAAAACACATTGAATTCCATTCTATTAGACATTTTATGGATGCTGTTACATTGTCCTAGGCACCAAGTTTAAAGAGAGATTAAAGGGAAGTCTCTGCTTTAGAAGAACTGACACTCCAGGTCCAGAGAGGGAGAAACAAATAATCACAACATGATACACGGCTCAGTCTGTAGTATAAATGGAGAGGGCCTTATTCTACCTTGTTTTCAACACCACCTTTCTATGGCACATCTGATCCTCTGTCATTACCTGTGACAATTTTCCAGCCCTTTCCGTTTTTTTTTTTTCCCTTCCCTGATCAGCTTGGGATTATAAGGTCAATACAGTAATTTTAGCACTTTTACCTGCATCCTCAATACTTTTGGCCCATTATTGCTCTGCCCCTCTTGGTCAGTTTATCCCTGATTTTGGATTAATCTAGTCTATCTGCTTTCTGCTCCCAGGGAGATAAGCACCACAGAGTACTGAAGAAATATATTGATTATCTTTGTTAAAATTGGTGATTTTCAGCCTCAGCTGATACTTTATCAATGCTAGGCAAATTTATAACTTGTCCATGGTCAGCTCCATTTTCCTCCAACTCTGCAGAGTCTGATGAAAAAGACTTACCATATTTCCTAAATTCCTCATCTTATTCTCTCCTGAAGATCACTTGTCTGTTACTTTGCAGTCATCATCAGGCACTAACTTCTTCAATTTTCATGTTGACCAATGGACTGCATTAAATCCAAGGCATTTTCCAGCCCCAAGCAATTATTTGCTTGGTTCTCATCCTTCTTTTTCTTGGCTCATTTCAATTCTAGGCATCGATGGTTTTCTACTTTGTTGAACTTGACAACAGATTTGTACATGCTGATTTTAGTCCCTTGGCACAAATTATTCTCTAGGATTTGAATAAACCTGAAATGTCCTAATCCTGAAAAGCCACAGTGTTCAACTCTTGGACTTTTTTCTCTATTGGTGATCTCATCTCATCTTATGGCTTTAAATATGCCTTACATGGCCGGGCGCGGTGGCTCAAGCCTGTAATCCCAGCACTTTGGGAGGCCGAGGCGGGTGGATCACGAGGTCAAGAGATCGAGACCAACCTGGTCAACATGGTGAAACCCCGTCTCTACTAAAAATACAAAAAATTAGCTGGGCATGGTGGCGCGTGCCTGTAATCCCAGCTACTCAGGAGGCTGAGGCAGGAGAATTGCCTGAACCCAGGAGGCGGAGGTTGCGGTGAGCCGAGATCGTGCCATTGCACTCCAGCCTGGGTAACAAGAGTGAAACTCTGTCTCAAAAAAAAAAAAAAATATGCCTTACATATGTTGATGACTCCCAATTTTATTTCTTTAGCTCAGCCCTCTCCTCTGAACTGTGGACTTCCATATCTAACTGCCTACTTAAAGATCCCTATTTGAGTATCATGTGCCATCTTAAACAAGTTCAAAATTAAGCCTACAAGAGAACATTTTTGGGAGTGATGGATATAGTCATTATCTTGATGATGTTCATGGTTTTATGAGTGTGTACCTATGGAAAAAAACTTAAAATGGTATACTTTTAAAATGTACACATTTTTGTACATCATTATATTCACTACAGGAGGCAAGGACAAAACAGTTTCCTGATTTCAATAAAGTTATGCACATTTGTAAATATCATCTTTAAATGATAAACTTTTTGCATATTCTAAATGCCTTTTCCATTATTCCATTGCTCTTTTGAAGAGAACTATAATAAGTGAAGTAACTAACAAGGACAATTAAGTTCTGAAATAGGTTAGATTGAACTGTAATTGATTTGAAATTCTTTAATTATTAAACCCTTGTAACTCTGATAAACTCAGCTACATTGCATGCTGAGACCTCAGCAGTGGACTAGTAATATGGGGAGGAGACCAGGACTCATGAGAGTAACAGTCTGGTTCTCATACTGAAAAGGTATCCTCTTCTGCCCCAACATGGTCTCTGTGTACATGCAGGGTGGAGGGAGTAAGACCAGAGGCAGTGGCAACATTCAGTCAGACAGCTAGGTCATATATACTAATATATACTTATAACTAAGTACTATGTTGTTTGGATCCAGAACCAAGTTTTTGGGAAGATAGGAATGAGGGGCCCACTCCCAGTGAAGGACTAGCAAAAGATAAGCAGTTTATTCTAGCAGGCTGAGATTCAAACAAAGGCTCTAATCCCAACTGGGGAACTGTTACAAAAATCATGAAAACAGCTAAAAGCTCTTTCATGCACACTGGGCTGTGAGTACTGACGTGTTCCTCAGTTCACAGGACACTTGACTGGGGAGCCAACAACAGTGGATATTGGGTTTCTGGCAATAGAACTAATTTTAGAAAGCACCAAATGGTAGGTTTGAGCTTACTATATTTTAAGATTACCTGGAAGCCTGGTATAAGGCACATGATAAATTCCTGTTGGCTAAAGTCAGACACATGTAAATTATCTTTTAACTTCTGAAACCAATCAGAAGCATACATATCCCAGTCTAGTAAGTATAGTCAAGCTGTTTAGGTCCTTTTTTTTTTTTTTGTCAGGGCCTTTGTCTGCTGCTCAGGCTAGAGTAGAGGTGCAATCATGGCTGATTGCAGCCTCAACCTCTAGGTTCAAGTGATCCTCCCATCTCAGTCTCTTGAGTAGCTGGAACAAGTGCATGTCACCACACTCGGCTAATTTTATTTGTGGAGATGACATCTTGCTGTTTCCAGGCTTGTCTCTTCCTAGGTTCAAACAATCCTCCCAAAGTGCTGGGATTACAAGCATGAGCCATTGTACCTGGTCCCAAGCAGCAGATATACTCGAGGGTTAACTCACACAACTAAAAGTCCCTGATCTTAGCCAATATTGCCTGAGTTTTTAGGAGGCTATTAGAGACTAATAGCTTAAGGGTATTAACATTTTAGCTTTCTGTCCCACATCTATCGACCCTGTTGGTACCCAAACCCTCAGTATTTCTCTCTCAGGCTCTGGACCATACTATCTTTGCCCAGTATTTCTTAGGCCTATTTTCCCAACATCTGTGCTGGTTTAAGACTCAAAACCACTTGTTCTATTTTCAAGAATTCTTTATAGCTTGACTTTTCCTAGACATCTTGTGCCAGTATTGACAAAATGGTTCTTATTTCAGGCCTTTTTGGCAGAAACTAGCACAGCTCAGTGAATATAAAGTAAATGTGGAATACTAATTTTGATATCAACTAAGAAAATGTGACATATTAAAAGATCTGTTGGAAGGCAAGGGAGGTAGAACGAGGTACAGAAAAAGAGGTCAGAGGGCTCCAAAGCAAATGGTCTATTTCACAATTTTGTCCTGTTTGCCAGCTTTGACAAAAGGGTAATGGAAATCTTCCCTGAAAACTATGGGATCTCAATAGTCTTTTTACCACTTACTGAAGTGCCTGGCCCTGTTCTAGGCACTTTTGAACTAATGAAAAACATATTTTAAAATTTTAAGCAAAAGTTCTAGGAGAGGGAGAAAGAATGACAATGATTAATAGAGTTTTAAGTATAGCAGGTAAGGGCATCAGAGCAAGGGTGCAAATGCAAACACTGCTTTAACTGCCATCTTAAACACACTACCTTCAGTGTGAAGGTGCATTTTCATTTTGAGATAGGAGTCTTACTCTTGCTGCCCAGGCTGGAGTGCAATGGTGTTACTTTGGCTAACTGCAACCTCTGCCTCCTGAGTAGCTGGGATCACAGGCATATGTCACTACATCCGGCTAATTTTGTATTTTAGTAGAGATAGGGCTTCTCCATGTTTTGGTCAGACTGATCTCCCTCAGCTGATCTGCCTGCCTCAGCCTCCCAAAGCTGTTGTGATAACAGGTGTGAGCCACCACACCCGATAGTGAAGATGCATTTTCTATCTCCAAATGTTACATGCCAAGGCTTCTCTCTATTTGGTAATATCAGATACTCGGCATTATATGTAACCCATCCTGCCAAATGATCTCTTTCTTCGTAGATTTTAGCAAGCCACAATGTCTTTATCAGGTTGTTTTATCAGTGACTTTCCCTCATCACCACACTTAGTTAATAAACTGCTATCATTATCGTATTGGGCTCCTATTTTCTGTATCTCATCCCCTAATTTCTCAACTTAAGCATCCAGGCTTTCAAATCTATAATTACATCAAAACAAAATATTCAATGATTTGCTTAGCAGCACTTTTTTTAATGCTGCACATACTTCCCACCAGTAATTCCTGCCCCTCTACTCTTACACTGATCCAAAAACCCTTACATTGTACCTTGCATAAAGCCAAAACATTCATTCAGAATAATTTAATTATAAGGCTGGTTAATAGATTTTCCATCTAATGTCCCCCATGTCATTTCAGACCTATTTAAAAATAATACAAAAACAACATAATCCAAAATTACATGTTTTATTTTCATGTTTGTAAAATGAAGAGCTTTTTTCTGGATGGTTTTCTTATCAGCTTTTCATACCACAGTCAAGTAAACCTCGTGGTACTAGCCCTAGAAAAGGAAAAACATGAGATTCTTACAAGACTGTCAACATTACAACAGCTTATGTAAAAGCATTTTGAAAAAAGTATTGTCCTTATAATGGTCCATCTCAGAAGCCAGATCCGTAGTTTTTTTCAACAGAAGTTCAGGTTCGGGATAAGATCATCACAGATAAGACCAAGGTCACAATATTCACTAATTGCTAAGCAAAAAAATAGAAAAACTCCACTTACAGAAATCGTTGCAACTTTGGAACTTCCAAGACAATCTGGCCTCTATCAATGGGCAGACAGCGACCCTCACTGTTGGCAGAAAAAACAAAAAAACCCCAAGATTTTGAGCTGTTGTGAACAGAGCTGATACAAAATCATGGCAAAAAATTTACTCCACCTCTGAACATTGGTCTTAAACCTCAGAAGCCGAATCCGTACATATTTTTCTTCAGGTCATCAGCTTAGGGATAGGTTTCATCATGGATTAGACCAATCATGCCTTACACATGTACACATAATACATTAAACTGCACTTCTATGACACTGACCATAAACCAAGGTAAATCTAAAAGGCAAGTATTACAGTACAAATACTACAGAACTTTTAAGCCACATAACTTACTTCAAAATGAAGCTGCTAGTCAGTGACATCTGACATTCATATCTTCATTAGCTACTTGTCAGCAGCCAGAACGCTGTTTAATGACAAAAATATTAATTTAGTCTAAGTGTAGATTAAACGCTACGATCATAAAGTACTAAAATAACTCATACCTGTTAAAAGTGTTAGGTTTTAACCAAGTGATTTTCTATTAAATATTCTCCCAGATGTGTTGTAATTTTTTCACGTACCTAACAAAAATAAAATTTCAAAGGATGCAACAGTTGCTATTCCTGTATTATCAACAGGGTTACTCCTTTAGTTTGTAAATTAAGCTTAACAGCTCTTACCTTTGCATCTTCACCGAGAGGCTCCGCTGTGTCACTGAAAGATAGCGCCATTGTTTCTCCGGGGAATCGATGTATGAGCATTCTCGCAGAAATGTCACACTCCAAGGCGTTTTTCCACATGAAACCCTTACCTTTCGTTAATCCAAATTGCACACAATGCCGCCTTCAAACAGCTCAATCTCAGCACAGGGTGGAGACTATCCATTTTAAAATAACGCCGACGGAAGGTCTTCGCCATTTTAAAGGCCCCTGGCTCTTAAAACTAACCCTCTGCCCCAATCCCGTAACTGTGGTTTTTCCCACGCCGTTCAGGCTCGTGCTGGAGGCCTGAAAGCGCGCGGCGCCCGCTGCTGATCATCTGCCTCTTCACGCCAAAATTCAGAGCCTGTGGCCGCCAGGACTCAACCTCAGTAAGGTGGCAGTCCGGCCGCGTGTTTTCCCACGTACAAGCTTTCAACCCTCAGGCTCTCTAAGCTCATCTCTAAGATGGCTTCACAGTACTAAAGCTCCTATTTCTGCCTGCGCCACCATCTTTTGCTCCCGTACTCGCCCGCAACACAGACTCACCCACCAAACGGCCAGAAGGATCACAAGGCCGACGTAAAAGACCGAAGCGCTTAGCCAGCAGCTCCCTATATAGCCTTCCAGAGTCAGGACGAGGCCGCCCCGCCCTCTCGCACCTATTGGACATGGAAATAGACGGGGGCGTGGCCGCGAATTAGCGGGAGCACGCGCGGCGGCTCCTTTCTTCCGAGGGAGGTTCTGCTCTGTCGCGCGCGCGCCGCAGTCCGGTCGCGCGCCCGTCCTTTTCCCAGCGCGCGCCCGCAGGCACGTTGCAAAGCGTCGCCTCTGAGTCTGGCTGCCACCCGGCCCTACGTGGCGCGGGAGTGGCGCCAGAATTCAAACAGTCGTAGTTAGAAACGACGCTACCACCTGCCCTGAGCCAAGTCCGCGCAGGACAGATAGGGTCCGAGAGTGGACACAAGTTTTGCAGAGCAGGGCGGCCTCAGCTTAGAACCGACTCGAGAAGCCGGGCTGGCTAGCTGGAGCTTGGCTGGAGTGGGCCCCCAGCGGAGGCCGCGGGACGAGCGCGCGAGCCCTGGCTGCTGCACTCCAGGGAGAGGGCAGTTGGCTGGCAGAAACGCTCGGGTGAAAAAGCGGCAAGCGCCGCGTGAGAGCCGCCCCGGCACGCGGCCCCACCTGGCCTCAGGGCGGGCATGAAGGCATCGTGGGGGCTCTTTCCTTCTCACGCTTCCTCCTGTCAGGCATCCGGTTACACTTTAAACCTGACCATACAAGTCTCGCTCAAACAGCGCACGTGAGATTCAGTGCTCCATTTTGCGGAAGAGAAAACTGAGGCTTAAAGCAGAGACGTAATTTGGGTAAGGTCACACAGCTGAAATGCTTTGCTAATTTTAACTTTTTTTGTACTAAATTAGTTATACTGAAAGGAGAGAAAGATTAATTTGAGAAGTATCCCTGAATACTTTATCCAGAAGACAAACTTACAAAATTCAAAAGCAGTGCTTTCATTATAAGCATGTTTGTGTGTACACTGTCACACACACACACACACGACATTTGAACATTCCCGTATTTGAAAATTCAGGTCGTCCTTTTGTATTTCAGAGCACGACTTATTAACGTTGTTTATTTGTGCATTTGGTTCTGCTAGAGTGTGGGAGGAATACATCTGATTTTGTGCTCTGCTGTTTATTTTTTCTTAGAACAGAGGCTAGCATTAAGTAGGTTGTCAGTAATGGTTAAATGAATGAGTGAATTAATGAATACATTAGGTGGCTTTTTAGAAAATTAGAATGAAGATCAAACTTCACATTAAAAGGTAGTAGTGAAAAGACCGTGTCTCTAACAGGAACGTAAATGATGAAGTATTGCCTGGGCCGGGCATTATGTCAGTTTTTATATTACTTTGTAATGTTTATTATAAATTTGAGTTATTGTTCACAGTAAATAGTAAAACAAACAAAACTAATACAGTACGAAAAGATATAACAAGCAAAGTAGGCCCGGATATAGTGGTTCATGCCTGTAATTCAGCACTTGGGGAGGCCGAGGTGGGAACATTGCTTGAGCCCAAGACCCTGTCTCTATATTAAAAAAAATTTAAAAAAACAAAAAAAGGCGTAGTGAAAGTATTTTTCCATATGCCTGGAAATCTCCCTAGTTGTACTCTTCAGCAATACTATTATTAACAGTTTTTGAGACTTTCTATGCAAATGCAAATATATGTACTTCGTTTTTCACATACAAGTGGAATCTATATACTCTTCTGCAACTTGTTTTTCCTTCTTTTAACTGTCATAAATATCTTTCCATATCAGTACATATAGATATCTTTTTTTCCCCCCATACAAGGTCTCACTTTGTCACCCAGGCTGGAGTACAGTGGCTCTATCTTGGCTCACTGCAACCTCTTGGGATCAAGTGATCCTCCTGCCTCAGCCCATCAACTATGTGGTACAATAGGCAGGCACCACCATGCCTGGCTAATTTTTTGTATTTTTCATAGATGTGGGATTTCTGCCATGTTGAAGACCATAAACATCACCTGGTCAAAAGCCATGCGAAACAGTGATCCCCAGCACTGTGGGAAGTCAAAACGGGTGGATTGTTTGAGCTCAGGAGTTTGAGACCAGCTTAGGCAACATGGCAAAACTCTGTCTCTATAAAAAATGCAAAAAAAAAAAAACCAACCAAACAAAAACCAAAAAATTAGCTGAATGTGGTGGCTGAGGTGAGAGCATGGCTTGAGCCTAGGAGGCAGAGGTTACAGTGAGCTGAGATTGTGCCACTGCGTTCCAGCCTTGGTGACAAGAGCCAGACCCTGTCTCAAAAAGAAAAAATGAAGTTCTAATCTATTTTATTTAACCCAAATATAATCAAAGTTTTTTATTTTGACATATGAACACTGTAAAATTATTGAAATATTTTTCCATTTGTTTTTTGTATGCGGTAAATGAAATCAGGTGTGTATTTTTTTTCTTACATCACATCTCAGTTTGTTCTGTACATTTATCATTGTTTTTTAACTTTTAGGTTTGTGGATACATGTGCAGGTTTGACATATATAGGTGAACTCATATCACAGGGATTTTTTGTACAGATTATTTCGTCACCCAGGAATTAAGCCTAGAACCCAGTAGTTATTTTTTCTGCTCTCCTTTTCCTCCAACCCTCTATTTTCAAGGAGACCTCAGTGTCTGTAGTTCCCTTCTTTGTGTTCATGAGTTCCCTTCATTTAGTACCCACTTATAAGTGAGAACATGCAGTATTTGGTTTTCTGTTCCTGCATTAGTTTGCTAAGGATAATGGCTCCAGCTCCATCCATGTTCCTGCAAAAGACATTATCTCATTCTTTTTATGTCTGCTTAGTATTCCATGGTATATATGTACCACATTTTCTTTATCCAATCTGTCATTGATGGGCATTTAGGTTGATTCTATATCTTTGCTATTGTGAATAGTGCTGCAGTGAACATTTATGTGCACATGTGGTCTGTACTTTTCAAGTGCTCTGTTGCCTTCTGTGGCTGATCACTGCATTGGACAGCACAAGTGTAGGGTGATTCATATAGAAGTTTGAGAACCACTGTTTTAGGGTAAAAATAAAAGAGGTACTACATATATGATATGTATTCCAGTCTTTTCTTTTTTTCTTTTTTTTTGAGACGGTCTCACTCTGTTGCCAGGCTGGAGTATAGTGGCACAATCTTGGCTTACTGCAATCTCTGCCTCCCGGGTTCAAGCAATACTCCTGCTTCAGCCTACCAAGTAGCTGGGACTACAGGCGTATGCCACCACACACGCCCAGCTAATTTTTGTATTTTTAGTAGACATGGGGTTTCACCATGTTGGCCAGGATGGTTTCTGTCTCTTGACCTTGTGATCCACCCGTGTTGACTCCCAAAGTGCTGAGATTACAAAGGCATAAACCGCTGTGCCCGGCCTATTCCAGTCTTTTTTTTTTTTTTTTTACCTTTCCATGTTATTATTTTTTATGCAGACAGGGTCTTGCTCTGTCACCCAGGCTGGAGTATAATAGTGTGATCACAGCTCACTGCAGCCTGGAACTCCTCAGCTCAAGTGATCCTTCTGCCTCAGCCTCCCAAGTAGCTGGGACTACAGGTGTGTGCCACCACATCCTGCCAATTTTTTTTTTTTTTGGTTGACACAGGGTCTTGCTATGTTGACCAGGCTGGTCTTAAACTCCTGGCCTCAAGTAATCCTTCCACCTGGACCTCCCAAAGTGTTGAGGTTACAGACATGGGCCACTGTGCTGGGCCTTGTATTACTTTTGACTCAAAAACTAATAATTCTAACAAAGGCAATGTAAAAATTAAATTAGTCCAGAGCCTGATAATTGACAACAATGCCCTCCTGTGAACATGTACAATGACTGTAAAGTCAGTACACAACTCTTTTAAGATGTTTATCTCTTCAAGAAACAAAGATGAACTGAGGGATAAAGCCATCAGTTTTAGGTGTGAGAGCTCTCACACCTAAAGTCAAACAGATTACTACCAAATATTTGAAGTGACTTAGTAAAGATCAATACTGAAATTAAAAGTGTCTTTTGCCGGGCGCGGTGGCTCAAGCCTGTAATCCCAGCACTTTGGGAGGCCGAGGCGGGTGGATTACGAGGTCAAGAGATAGAGACCATCCAGGTCAACATGGTGAAACCCTGTCTCTACTAAAAATACAAAAACATTAGCTGGGCATGGTGGCGTGTGCCTGTAATCCCAGCGACTCAGGAGACTGAGGCAGGAGAATTGCCTGAACCCAGGAGGCGGAGGTTGCGGTGAGCCGAGATCGCGCCATTGCACTCCAGCCTGGGTAACATGAGCGAAACTCCGTCTCAAAAAAAAAAAAAAAAAAAAAAAAAAAAAAAAAAAAAAAAAAAAAAAAAAAAAAAAAAAAAAAGTGTCTTTTATATTTGAAGAATTTATTATATTGAAAATAAATTCTCATATTCTGTAACAAAATTCCTGATAAGATAATCACTTTAGTCATTTTTTAAAAAGAAATGTTCACTGAGCCCCTGGTGTATGCAGTGTACTTCAGAGAACTCTAATGTGAATAACAAATGTCAAACTTGAAGGAATTTATAGTTTAGTAAAAAGTGTCCACTCAACATTTTACAGAGTTTAGATATGAGATATTGTGAGGGACACCATTATAATTTTGACCATGGAAATGGAAGGTAGGGAAGACAACGATATTTGGTGAGAACTTGTTATATGCTGTTAGGTTCTTATATGCATTAGATCATGTACTCTTCAAGACAGTTCTGGTGTGTATTTTTAACTTTATGTTAGAAATGAGCAAAATGAGGCATGGAGATCTCAGTTAACTAATGTTCCCAAGTCTTTCTGACCTTAAATTCATAATCGTGTCACCAGGGCATTATGTAGCTGTGCCAAAGAAAGAAATGAAGGATGTGATGATGAGCTGTGGGAGAAGAGAGAAAGTGGAGTGTAGCCCAGGCAGCCTAGAGAATGGTAGCTAGTTACTGGTTTGGGAGCAAAGAAAAGAAGATCATTCCATTTTGGTTGTGTTAAATTTTGGGTGGAACATTTGGTTGGTTATAGTTGTC